TTTTGAAATTTTTGATTTACTTTAGTTTGTCTATTTAAATTTGTGATTGTGTAAAAGGTATTATGTCAAATACAATAAAATTCAAAATCACTGAAAGTTGTATGATAAATGTAATGGAAATGTGCAAAGGATTTTTTTTCTACAATTAAGCAGGAAGCATATTACAAAATTATCGTTTAATTCAAGAACACAAAATTATGGTTTATTTCAGGAGCACAAAATTGTCATTTATTATTTTAAGAACACAAAATTATTGTTTAAGTACATATAGCAATCATAAAGAAGTTTTTTAAAAAAATGTGGCAGACTGAAGAGAAAGGAGCAATATGCATTAAACAAAACAATTATTTCAAATGAAATTTTTCCCAATGGTGGCTACATACACGTCTTATACTGGAATAAATTCACAGATATTGAATGCAAAAGATACAATGCATCAATAGCCAGTCACAAAATCTCAAAATTTCTTCCTACCCTTGAAATTTTCTATGGTTTCAAAGTGAGAAGAAAAATACAGATAAGCAGAAAAAAGTTACAATCTTTTAAATAAAACAATTGAATATAATTTCAAAGCAAAATACAAAATGATGAGCCTAAATATTTTAACAGCTTATAAAATTTGACACAGTATTTCAACATAATGGAATTCCTATAACACAGAACAACTTCTGCTGAACATATAAAATTACATAAAGAAAAAAAACAACACAAGACAGCTCAAGCCACCAAAATCCACTTTGCAGGCATTTTATGTACAACTTTAGAAAAATTCGTTTTGTAAAAAATAATTCAAAATTTTGTACACTTTGGCTTCATTTACATTGAATTTAAGAATGACAATAAATTTATCTATCGCTTTGTCACAACAATTTAAAAGAGTGCACATGATAGTGCAAATTCTTGTAGCAGTAGCTAATACTGATGGGACTTCACATTTCTCCCGTAGGACTGACAATTTCAGCACTGAGGGGAGGACCTTCATTGTGTAGAGCAGGTATTATTCAATGATACCTGTTAATAAAAATCTCAAAAATCATGTAGGGTGAATGGGTTGTTACATTCATGAGTTGAAAAGTAAGAAATCTTTTAGACTCTTAGGAAGAGGCAGTTCTGCCACTGAATGATTTCTTAGATGGAGAAGAATGGCATCCCTACAAGCACTTTGCAAACTAGCAACTGTAAGAGAAAAAAACAGAGTTATAGCTTAAAAACTCAACAACAGTCTTTTAACTGACATGAAAAACACTGGTATTTACCTCCCTGAAGTTGGACAATTCGTACTTGCTTTGTAGTCCCATAAACATCAACAACAGCATGCAAGGGACCTTCTTTATAGGGGATGTCTCTAGTGCACGGCCCCTGATCTTCACCATTTATGACAAAATGCATTTCAGCATTCCCATTTCTTAACGGAACATAGACAACACCAATTCGGCTGCCTACATCAGTAGGTAAGATTTCTTCACCTTTGTTTGATGAAGATGATCTTAACCAGCTCCTAGGTATTGTGCCTCTTGAAGTTTTTACACATTGACTAGAACCAACAAACAATTTGGTACACTCTGACTTCAATGGAGTATCGTCATCCTCAGATACATTGTTTTCAAGGCTGTCGAACCGGTAGACATTGTTTTGAGTCTTTGTGATTCCATATATCCATGACTGTCCCATATTTGCTAGGTCAGGGAGAGCGTATTGCGGGAAATTACCATCTTGAGTAACGGCACATTTTGGGTCCCTCTGAGTGAGACCTAGCCTCATGTAACCGCTCCAACCTCTCTCATTTTTTTCAATTTCAAGGAGGAATATTTCTCCGGGCAACAAAGGCTTTTCACTGAATGTCACTGCATTCGCAAAACTGGCTTTCCTATAAGCTACCGTGTTATCCTCCAGAAGGATGATGTTTTCTCCATGCTGGGGATGAAACCGAGTAGAAACTCTTCTACTTTCTGTCAATAGCTGCAATTCTCGGACGTCTTCTGTGTCCATGCCATCCATCAGATCTGATTGATCCATGGGCTCCACCATACTGAGCATTTTAATAACCAGACACCTCTAGACAAGTGAGATGATATTCCTGCAAGTTAACCTCACATTGGACTCAGTTTTCAATCTGATCACAATTAATCTCCGGTTCACTGTTATTACTGACGGTGATGGGACGTCAAAACTCATACCGAGAATCATAAGACAGCACTAATCTTCTTATTCTAACAGCAATCTAATCGAAACAACTTTGAAAGACGGTCTTAGGTGGTGGAAACGAACACTAATGACTTCGGTTAAGGAAAAAATTAGGCACAGGTACTTCCAATGGTACAAGCGGTGTGGTTAACAGACAATAAATTAAGTAAAACGAAGTCGCCAGTCGCCGAAAGATAAAATCAACAAAACAACACACGGTCCTTATTTGACGCCAAGGCCATGAGGTACTCTGACTGAGGGGAGACTTGTTCCAAGTTCCAATTAAGTATGGCAAATTTATGGTATAGAAACGAGAAACAAGGTGTTCAATTGCATCCTGAGACCTGAGATTTTATTTTATTTTTGAAATTTTTGATTTACTTTAGTTTGTCTATTTAAATTTGTGATTGTGTAAAAGGTATTATGTCAAATACAATAAAATTCAAAATCACTGAAAGTTGTATGATAAATGTAATGGAAATGTGCAAAGGATTTTTTTTCTACAATTAAGCAGGAAGCATATTACAAAATTATCGTTTAATTCAAGAACACAAAATTATGGTTTATTTCAGGAGCACAAAATTGTCATTTATTATTTTAAGAACACAAAATTATTGTTTAAGTACATATAGCAATCATAAAGAAGTAAAGACTAGGCATAATCTTTTGTCCGGGTACAGTAATAAATAAGAGTGAGCTTAACTTATCAGTCAGGTTATATAACAGAATTGTTTAAGATAGCTCCGTAGTAGTATTAGCTGAAAAAATTCTAGCTAAGGTTTCATTCACTGAAGTAATGTTCGTTGCACTTGAGGAGTTTCCTGCTTGAACACTGCAAGCTGGGAGCCAATAATAGGAAAGTAAACCACCCACTGTCAGTCCTACAATGCTGAAGATAAGTCGGGCCCAGCATGGGGTCCCCCTCATACTTAAACTTTGAGCTGTTCGAAAGCAACATGGTGTCCCATGCTCACTCTGGAAGGTAAAGACGTACAATTTAATTCAGAAACAAAGACAAAGGTTTCATTTTGTCCCTAAACAGTTCTTAAACCTTGGACTTTGTGAACCATACCTGAAAAACTGCCGCATAGCTGCCAGCTGAAACGCCAATTTCACCAAACCCACAAGCTCGGAAGAGGCACGGCAGAATCAAAACACAAGCAAAGGCGCCTGATAGGGCTATTAAGGCAACATATAAATAGCAGGGAAACCAGACCAGCGCGTTACATTCCTGAAAACAAATGTATGTACAGCAGGTTAGGCGGGTCTTCATACTAGAGCCAAATCGGAAATTATTTTTGAAAAGTTCTCGAGCACTTACAAGAGGGTCTTCTCGACATGTTTTGGCGGACCAGCTAGGTAGCATGTATAGGAAACCAATGAGTGCATTCATCAGTGGTCCATGTCCATGCTCCGTGGAGGTGGTGTTATCCTTGGTCGTGAAAGCCGGGTCGGTGCCGTTGGCGCCCTCGGCGCCGTCGGCGACGATGGAGCTCAGCAGGGACATCATCACAGCCACGAGCACGAGGGTGCCCGTCGGTGAGCACCGGAGGGAAATGCTATCCATGTTTATGACCAACTTACTGTTAGGGACGGGACGTTGCGTACAGGGAATACCCGAACCAAATATCGATCGAACCGTCCGGCAGCTGCACCTACACCATGACCTACCTCACCCTCTCTACTCTAATCCGTTCCGTTCCCTTCCCCTCCCCTTCCCCTTCCCAGCAGTCAGTTGTAGCTCCGTATTCAGTTTAAGCAACGTGCAGCGCGAAATATGTTAAAATTTCTTACTAGGAAACGCTGGAAAAGAAACTCACGAGTAAATCAAAACTATCAAACTAGCTTAGTACGCTGACTTTATCATAGGGTGGTCATATAACAAAAGCTACTGTATGTAGGTTTTAGCCTCTACGAAATGCGAAAGGTTGTACGCAGTGTATAGGCAGGGCAGGCAGGAGGCCGAGATAACTAAAAATAGTCGTGTTCAGTTTCTTTTTAAAACCTTTTATTATTAGACTTTTACTTTGAAAAATGTATCTTTTCAGAAATGCCTAACCGTTTATTTATTGGTATTTTTCTTTCAATTTTTGATTGTGACTATTCTACCCATTCTTTGACTTCGAGGGAGTGGTGAACACTGAAACGCCGGCAAGTTTTGAATACCATGTAGAACAGAAATAGAAAAAACCTCATACCTATTATTTACGAGGGGTTGGAAAAGAAAGGGTTACTTCTAAAAATGCTTATTTATTTAAAAATATATTGACATACTTCTTTGGTCCCATCCTGACAAGGACAATCACTCAAGAGTTCTGACAGTTCTGACACATGACGCGCATCACAAAGCATTCTGATATGATACAAAAAATAAGTTGATGAATACGTACATGTCGACTCGTTATTCATAATTAAAATGTGTACCTCAACTTCACTTATAACTGAAAATTTGAACAAGATCATAATCATATAACTAAATATAACTAATGACACTTAATCATACTAAGATGAAAAAAAAATGTTGACAAAATAGAGGAGAAACTATTTCATAGCCATAGTTGTAGAGTAGTAGCTTCATTTTGCTTTAACTCACTGGGTAACTGAAAACTAGCCATGGTTTATATTAATCAATTTAAAAAAAACAAAAACAATACCAGCATATTTTATAAAATAGGAATCACAAATCCCACTTTTCCAACCCTTTCCTTTTACATCTAGAAACACTGATTGATCCGCAAGAATTTCAGATCACACTTAAAATTGATCACAAGTTATAGGCAAGACCATGGCAAGGGAAAAGAGTGACACACAAATTGGAGCAAAGCTCATTCAATTTAGTGAAAAAAATCCACAATCACCCTATCATTAAACATAGCTAAAGAAAATCTTAGTGTAAAAAGAGAAAACCTCAGTTCTCTCACCTTCACAAAATAAGTTTGCGAAGACAGGTAAAGAAAGGGCAAATATCCCTCAATAGCAAAATTTTTCACCATTGCATTCCAACTGAAGTAAGACATTAATTTTCCTATTATGAATTACGGATAACTATGGCACAAAAATGCATAAAAGTTTGCTTGAAGAAATGATCAAAGAGCAAGAGAAACTCTTCCACAAGTAAGAAACTAAGGATGCACAGATGGATAATATGTGAAGCTGTTGAATATGACAATATTAGATAATAAACTATTGCACCTTACATACAACACTTTCTCCTCAAGGTTGGGTTGCCTTTCAGTTACAAAGGCTTCTGATGCAGCAAGAGCGGAAATTAAATCTTGAGAAGTTCTAACTTTTTCTTCATTGGTTTTCTTGAGACTGTAGAAAAAACACAATAACATTACGTTATTTATTTGATTTGGGACATTGAACAGACCGAAGTAGCAACGAGATCTAGCACTCTCTTCTAGGTAAGAATGAATGGTAAACTTTAAAATGTTAAAAATTTTAAAAAGAAAAAAAGATGGTTCAAAATTTTTTTGCATATGAAAGTGTTCAGAGATACCCGCTAAAATTTCTATACTGATGTGGATGAGACTATACTTTAGTTAGAGAAAACAGTAGTGAACTTCCCTACTACTGCCCCCCCCCCCTCTCTTCATTTATTTATTATTAAAAAGTGGCAGGGTTGCATTTAGGATACATTTTCCACAAGAGAACAAAGTGACCAGTCTTTTAAAATTTATTAGATTATTGAAACATGTACAAACATTACTCTAAAGCAATACTGAATGATACGATTATTAACAGCTCAGTGACATTTGCAGAAAAGAAGCTGAATGTGGTTAAATACTGTTCTTGAATAAAATTACCTTCTTCAAGCAAAGCCCTTTTAATACGTTCATCTTCCTAAGCTTCTACAGTAACAAAGAAAGCAGCATATACTGGCCAAATGTTTTCAAAAGAATTACTAATTAGTTTGATTAATGTCTTTCTTTCTTTCTTTCTTTCTTTTTTTTCAAAGGAACTACAGTACTCTGTTAGATGACAGGGCTGTTGTAATTTTAGGTTTAAATATCGCAAGGTATCCAACTAAACAATTCTTTAGCGATGGCGTACCTTCTGAAGGGCATTAATACCCCACATAGCCAGCATCCCCAGGCCAAATATAGCACCATACTGGAGGAATGCCAGGGAAACTCCACGTCGTTTCTTCATCAAGGTCCTCAAAAATGTTAATCCTTTTTCTGAGTAGGGTGGGTAGCGTGCCCTAAAATTTAACAAAGTACAATATTGTTATATCCAATCAACTAGGTATATGGGTAGAGTAAATAAAGTGACGGCTCTGTACTCACGCAGAAAGTGATTCACCAACAATATTATAGTCCTTGATCAGGGTTCCTTTGTTGTGGGTAAATGTGTCAAAAGTGAATTTTCCATGGTAGGCACCCATGCCACTGCAGCCAACACCACCAAATGGAAGGCCCTCAGCTAGTCGCATATGTAAGAAAACACTTATTAGAATGTTAGCCGTTAACTGTATGATAAAATACTAAAAAACACCAAAACAGGTCATAAACACATGATACTAAACCCACTTAAAATGCAACACACTACAGATATACTGCCATATCTGCGTTGGAAGCCATTCATGCCAAAGCTTGTGGTTACAAACTACATGCTACCATATGCTAAAACAAACCTGCAGCATGGAAGATGGTCTCATTGATGCAAACACCACCACTGCTTGTATTCTTCAAGAATAGGTCCCTCTCCACTTTGTTGTCAGAGAATATGTACAATGCCAAAGGTTTGTCCCTGCACCAGCAAGATTAAAAACCATCACCACACAACATTCATAATTGAAATTAATCACGACAACCAAATGGACAGAAACCAAGAGGAGACAAAGGTGTGGTGTTGAAGGTAGATCTACATAAGACTAAATGAAACATTTGACGGAGTTAATCTTCAATTAGTGGTCAGAACCATACCCATTCTGGAGTAAAAAGCATGACGTTTCCTATCTAAGATTGAATAGAATAAAATAAAAACCAGAAAAGATCAGTGATACTGTGAGACAAAGAAGCTGGACATGGGAAGCAAGGGAGCTAGATGCAACCATTAAACACAACCTACAGATTACTGGTAGTAAAATAAACAATAGGGTGAACAATAGTTGTGATGACTTGGTAGAAGGAGCTCTGTTGGAGCCAAACATTCTTCGTGGTGTCAGCATTGAGCCACTAAATAAAACGACTGAGATCAACCTTCTTGAGAGCAGGTTTCGAGCAAACATTGACCGAACCCAGATAGCGAATCAAGGACATCACACCAACCTGAATAATGAATTGTTCACTCTAAGAGAAATGAAGGGTGCATAGACGAGCATAACCACCATCACCACCATACATTCCTTCAGTCACAAGCAAACCTACAGGAATCAAGACACCACCGCCCTATATGGGGTGTCACTCACCAGTGAAGTGCATTAAAGTATCATTCACAGCAACACCTCCACTTGAAGTCTGCTTCAGCAGCAAGTCTTTTACTTTCTTGTCAGATGTAAACACATAAAACGCCAGTGGCTTTTCTCTGAATTGATTGGAAGCAATGGGGAAAAAATAAGGGGAGTGAAAAACATGACACAAACCATATTTGGGTCCTAGCCAGGCTTGGAATAGAATGCATTAATAGAAAGAGGATCCAGTCATCCAGTCTTGAACACTGACTTTCCAAATACCCTGTCTAATTAATAATTATTAGAGTCACGTCTCAGACGACCAAGTAGAAAAGAATTATGAAACCAATGTAACAGCAAGATATTTTATGTTTTCTAGAACTAAAATAAAAATTAATCTACATCAATGTACTTACCGACTATTGATGAACTTGATGGCTTCATAAGCATTTTCAACATTGACAATTGGCAGAATTGGACCAAAAATTTCATCTTGCATCACTTTCTCTGTGGGTTTGACATCAACGAGTATAGTTGGAGCAATATAGCGTTCAGAGGCATCCACTTCTCCACCAACAGCTATTTTACCACACTTCAAATATTCTTGCAGCCTCCTAGATAGAGAGAAGGGAACAATGAGCATTTACTAAACAAAAGATTTGGGCCATGCTATCATTACTAAGCAGCAAAAAAGAAACGTACTGGAACTGTCTGTCAGACACAATGCGGCACATATCTGGAGAAGTCTTGGGGTTGGAACCATAGAATTCTTGAAGCACTTCTTTTGCTTTCGCCACAAACTTTTCTTGAGTTTCACGAGTGCAGAGCAAATAATCAGGTGCAATACACGTTTGACCAGCATTAACCACCTTTCCCCAAATTATACGCTTGACAGCAACACTCATATTGACGGTATTATCCAAGTATACAGGGCTGAAAATGAAAATGAAAGTAAGACAGAGCGAGCTAACTAAATACTGTAGTACTACAAAAAAAAAAAAAAAAAAAAAAAAAAAAAAAAAGAGAAGAGTTGGTTGCACCTTTTTCCTCCAAGCTCCAAAGTAACCGGTGTTAAGTGCTCATTAGCAGCAGCTCGGACTATTTTTCCAACAGTTGTCGAACCAGTGTAAAATATATAATCAAATTTCTGTTTCAAAAGTTCAGTGGTTTCTGGGATACCACCAAGCACAACTTGAAAGCATTCCTAAATATTAAAAAGAAAAGAGTCACACGACCAGCTCAAGAATAAACAAATATTGACAGATGAAAGATAATGCAATCTCTAAACATACTTGATCCAGGTATTTTGGAACAAGGTCTGCCATCAGTTTGGCTGAAGCTGTTGCTATTTCTGATGGCTTGATAATGACACAGTTTCCAGCAGCAATGGCACCAATAACTGGGCTAATTGTCAGTTGAACTGGATAGTTCCAAGCTCCCATGACAAGTACAACACCATATGGATCCTTGTAAATAGCAACCTCATCCAGCATGTTGACAAATGTCTTCTCAGGCTGTAAAAAATAATAGCAATAAGAAAATGAAATTGTTTTTAGGGGTCAGAAAGGGACTGCAACAACTGCAAACACTCAAAACAAAACATACCTTCACAGGTTTCATCCAATCTTTTAAACTGAGAAGGGTATGGCGGATTTCATTCTTGCAAATTTCAAGTTCCATGATGCAAGACTCCATCTTACTCTGTACAGATAAGTATACATGGATTGTCAATACAAGTTTGAGATATGTGCAATTCAAAAGTGTAGCACCTTGAACAAAACTTCACCTTTCTTAAATCCGCTTCCAAAGCACTAATGAGATCTGTTTCATTTTCCTCAAACAGACGAAGCAAATTCTTCAGCTGCTTAACACGAAATTCATAATCCAGAGTGCGGCCAGTGTAAAAGGCATCTCGAGTCTTCTGCACAATCTGTTTAATAAAAGACAAAGAAATATAAAACTGATCAAAAAAATTGATGGAGAGAGATTAATTTTTGAATATGTTGAACTGCATTAGATATGTTAGAATGACGAAAAATACTGATATAGCTAACATTGGTACACAGCCCCCAGCACAGTGGCTTGGCAACCAAAAAGCTTGCATCAGGACCAAATTATCATCCAGATGTCAAAAAGAGGGGAGGCAAAGCATATCAGTGAATAATGACTGCCGCTTCCAGTGACAACACAGGCAAAGAAGAAGGGGGAAATTTTTGCACTCAAACTTACGGCAGCGTAGTTAGCCATGTCGATGGATTGAAAGTCCTCTCCGTTAATTCCTGCAAGAAGAAAAGCGCCACTGTTTACAGCTGCCAGCAGAAAGGGGAGCAGCAACTCACAAAGACGGAGACCGAGCGAGGCCAACTGTCACTCGAACAGCTGAGACTCGTCGGGCCAGTCCTGCCTAGCTACATCACAAATCACGATCCACGGCGCAAAATCCCTCGCGTAGCAACAACCTATGCCGTATGTCCTGCTCCTTTGCTGCACCACATTGAGGTTATGTTTACGTCCTGTGGGCAGCAGGTAGCTGCAGTGTGCTTGCGCAACTCCCCCCCACCCCCACCCACCCTTTCCCCCAATCCTTTTCCTACGAGTTCCCGACGACGTTACATCCACCGCGCCGCTCTCCCACTCACAGAAAGGGAAGGTGGGTCGTCCAGTCGACCGGAAGGCTCCCCACGGACTGACGGGAGTCGCTCTGCCCCGCCGTTCGCGCCTGCCCCTCCATGCGTCCGTCGGCCCGGCCGTCTGCCGGTGTCCGTCCGTCTCGGAGGTTCTGTCCCCCCAGCCCCCGGG